AAGTGCTCCCACGGCTGTTAGTCCCCTTCATAGGTCTGCTATAAAGAAGAGGAGAAAAGCACGGGATGAGGTGGACAGTTACTGGCAATGTTATGATGCATAGTAGCATGTAAAAATGCCACTCCGCGTGATTGCCAGCAATGACGAGCAGCTGGAAGCCATAACAAACGATAAGAAGAGAGCAACCATTACGAGTCGCGGGCGGCGCGCGATCAGAATGAATTCGTATTGAGAAGGGGAATCCCTAGGGCAAAAGTAACGGAGTATTTATTCCAAACAAAAATGTTAGGCTCCACCCACCATACAATCTCAAACTTAAAAATCGAGACAACTAGTCCACGGATGAGGCCAAAGCTTGGAAACGAGCGTAACCATCTTAAGGGTACAAGATATTCAAGGCTTTGGTACAGATATGCCAATCATTTTTTTACGATAGAGTAATATGGGGCCAATTGACCCACCCAACTTCGCCCATCCTTAAAAACAGACGCTGAACGAGTCCAAAACGAAGAATCCGTGAGCCTTGTAACAATTCAGAGGCCCCATGCAGTAGTACCTGACCAAAATGGGCTCCCGTTCTCGACTGGGGATAAGTCCCATACCCGGCCAAAGACGGGATATACCCATCCCCAGCCTGTGCGCTCTATTCGACCTCCGAGATTTGGGTTGGGACGAGTCACGTGGGCTCTTAGAATGTGAAAAGCTGGGATGCTATGAGGAGTTGTCTTCTGTCTCCAAAACAATCTCTAGAGATGACAAAGCTGGGTGTTATCGTGAAACTGATCCAAAGTCAAGACTTGTAAAGGTGTTCATGTCATTGGAAAGGGGAGGGGAACATTCAGGTAACTGAACCGCTGCACTTAGAACTAACAATAAGCTCTAGACAGGGAAGGAATTCTGCAAGAGGAAGTGAGCAATTTGGGTTTTCCCTGATGCTTTTCCTTCTACTGGACTTACAATTAGTCGGTGTGGATTGCTCTGACGGAAAGCGACTTTCTGCTCCCCGCATGCGGAACTCTTTCCGCTGTGGGAACTCTAGGTCCATTACGAGTGTGATTCACTAATTGTAAGACAGAAAGCAACTTTTCCGCGTTTCCGCAGCGCAAAACATTCTTTCGCTGCGGGAACCTCGGGTCCACTGATGATCAGCGGTGGACCTGAGGTTCCTGCAGCGAAAAATGTTTCGCGCTGCGAAACGCGAAAAACCCGCTTTCCCAGTGACTGATGTCAGACTTTGCGATTGGAGCGATTGTGCACAAATTGCAGGAGCGACGGATCGCTTGAGCGATCCATCGCTGCGAGCGACGGGACATTTACGAGCTGATGACGCCGAATTATCGTTGGTCGGCCGTGTAAATCTCCCGTCGCTCGCAGCGATGGATCGCTCAAGCGATCCGTCGCTCCTGCAATTTGTGCACAATCGCTCCAATCGCAAAGTCTGACATCGGCCAGTCAAGTGGTGCACCCGAGATTCACGCAGCGAAAAGCGAAAAGACGCTTTCTGTCCTAGCAACGAGTACACCCGATCTATATCCTTGCGGTCTCTACCATACCATCGCTATGTTTTTCAAAATTCCACACCTATAGAACATGAGTGCCTTGAACAAATTTAAGGAACAAAAGCTTAAACAGAAGTGAGTGATGTCATAAAATGTCATTGTATCGCTTCTTCCAGCCTTATCTTCATATCAGCGTAAATCTTTGAAAACATTTGCTATTCTAAATGGCTCCGTTCATAAAGCATGAATAGTACGATAAGGGAAACAATTATGTTATGAGCCGTCATGACACGTTCTGACAGGAATGAAAGGGATTCATAGCCAGTTAAGTGGGGGGCCAATTGGGCACAGTCTGCTTCTATATACCGTATTGGCTCGACATCCTCAAGTTACGAAGCGCTCCCATCAGCTTTTCTCCACGTTGTTCTTCTCTTTTTTTGTATATACGATTTGTTATTTGTTCACAACCCAGCATTCTTGTGAAACATTCGCAACGCGAACTGCGGCGTTAAAACAGCAGTTAACAAACAAAACAAGTCAAAATTCATTGCTAAAGCTTTCAGCCTCGCGGTCATTGCCGATATCGGCTAACCGGCTCAACACGTTAGACGTGTGAGTGCTGAAAGCTATGGTACGTATACCATGAAAAGCTGAGTTGGAATGAATGGTGCCACCGTACACGCCGTAACGGTACGCCACTTCGCCCCGGCAAAGCGAGAGGTGCCGGCGTTCTTAAAGTCCGCCTGGCGCAAAGTTTTCGTCACCAACCCCACGCAATTCTTGACAACATTCCTTGTCCTAACTCGTTATGTGTTCTCTGTGCTTTGTAACATAAACGTCAATGAAAAGTAATATTTACCTAGTGATCAACTAGGACTAAGCCTAGGAAGGGGAGGAAATCCCTCCCCGAGAAAGCGAAGATTGCTCACGAACCCGGGGTTTCCTCCCTTCTGAGGCTTAGTTCTAAACCTTTGTACTAAGGGAATATGCTATCCGTGGTTTAAACTTGTTGAGCACTCTAAACCGCATGCCCCCCTAACTGGAATAGACCCTGGAAGAGCTTCTTACGACAAGTCATTTGGATAAAAAATCGTAATGAAAAAACATCAGCGTGCTTAATTCCGACCAAAAAGCGAAATGCTACGAGAACGGATCCGAGCCGTTGGAGGGCCAGAGAACGAGAGTGACGGCGGAACGGCAGGGACGCAGCGTGGAACACATCGATCGTCGTCTGCCAGTGGAGAGGTGGACGTGAAGACGTCCTCCTGCTGCTCATTCCTCAGTTTCCCCTCAACGATGGTCCCCACCTCATTCCACTCATTTATTCATTGTTTTTAGAATGATGGACAAGTTGTCCTCGCCGGGTACCGCATCTCCCGAGAATTCGATGACAAGGACCACGGCCACTCCACAAACAACTCACACTCCTCCACTGGAACCTGGAGTTCCAATGCAATTTCGTGCGTTTTTTTCATTTGTACACTTTATTACAAAATCGTATATGTGGGTTGTGCAGCGCTTTAACCATTTAAGTTTATCCCGAGTGTCATTGTTGTGTACGCCTTTCGCAATCATTCTATCAAATTTCGCCTGCCACCGAACCTATTTGTTTACGTATTTAAGAGCAATTTGTTCTTAGCATAGTTAAGCTGATGTGGTTAATTCCTTAGAAGTGAGCGTACAAGGTATGTACTATAGTCGAAGCTAAGGGCGCATCAGAATCAGGGAAAAAGGCTGTGTTAATTGACATGCATTGTCCTTATGCCCTTTGCGTTGTGGAAAAATGCGTAATGCTAACGATCGATAAGATCTGAAAACAAGTGATCGCTGTGTTTGAGAGAGGATTTTCTTGACAGGGTTTCTCGTGATTAGGGCGTGTTGGTAGAAGTTATTACTCACGAAAGGCACCACATGTTTGTGGCGCAGCGCGTTTGTTGAATCTTCAGTCTTTGAATGTATTGCGAATCCGATATATTTTATGTTCTCCACCGTAATTGCTGTCCCATTAGAATTGCATGTCAAACCCTCATTTGCTTGAGATCTTGAAACGCCATCCTGTGGTTTAGCACCATATTTGAAATATTTTTGAAAAGGTATTATCCTTCACGAAAACTCCAATTGAGGTTAGGAAATCTATCGTTCTCGGCTTACGAAAGGCTTATTCTCATATTGGAAGAGTGTCCTTTTCAGAGATGCCGTTCTTCGCCAATCCTTTCATGTCACCGTTCATGCCTCAGCAAGGAGTTCCCGTTGACGGTAGCATCGCACCTCCAGCAGGAGGAAACCCTGCGATGCCGGCGTTTTTCTTCTCTCCTGCTCAGTACCAGGAGATGATGCAACAATACTTTACTCAAATGATGACAGCTAATCAATACGGAATGAATATGGCATTCCCTATGCCTTTTGGTACCACGTTAGTACGGCCATGTAGCCAGGTGAGGTTGTTCTACTGTTTTGTTGTGATCTTTTCCTTTTCTCACTCTTGCTGAGTTTGCCATAATCTCCTGCGATTTGTGGCGGATTACGTCGCTTTCTTCCTCGATCGCGGACTTTAGGAAGTCATTGTCCTCCGTCTCTTGTGAATTTATAAAGTACTTCTATCTAAATCCTTCGGATAAAAATTCTCGTGCGCGCCGTGAAAGAATACCGTTCTGATAATTGCTCTTGCTTCGAAAGTCTTTTAAGGCTGTTTCGAGTGTCTGCATATGGGGGTCCAGAGTGCAGATTTTAATACGCTTCTCGAATTTTCGAGGCATATGTTTCTAATTGAGAGACACATTATAATATCGAATTGCATTCACGGTGTCATCTTTCCTTCTTCCTTCAGTTTTTTTTTTGTTTGTGGAGCTTCTCTCGCGTTTTGGTGAGAGGCTAGTGCTCTCAGGCTGGTGTCGTAGTCCGCGATCCGTCGCGCGATTCGCGCGAATCGCAAGTGCCTCAGTGCCTCAGGTTTGAACATTGAACACTGAACACGAAAAAGTATCACGAGTCGTCTTTACATCCATCAAGCCAGGAATGGCGGCGGGGATCGGGGGCAGGGTCGGTCTATCGTGCTATTTTCATAGAAGTTTTTACGACCCCTCCCTCATAGAATGTTTTCATGTACGATCCTCTTCAAAACGGATTTACTCACAAAGATCGTCGGAGCGGGGTAGTATACTTTACCGTAGAACGCAAATTCCCTACATTTCCTTACAATTCTCCTATATTTTACCCATATTTCAACTGCTCCATTTTCTAGGGGAGGTATATACGCGCGCTGAAACGGCAAATTTTCTCCGCGCCGCTCCCCACTCATCACATGCAACTTCTTACAACCGAAGCAAGTACGACCCCCCTACAAACTCATCAAAATACGACCCCCGTTGCTACTTGTAGCAACATAGGGTTGACCCTGATCGGAGAAGAGACTCCAGGAACACAATATTGATGAGGGGTTCTATGTGATGCGTGGGGATCGACGCGCGAATCGCGCTACGGGTCGCGGACTCTGACACCAGTCTTACGAAGCGAAAATTGTTCTATGAATGTTTCAAGGAAATTCAATCTGCATGCATTTATTTAATATGGGTGATTATAAATTCTCTCGAGCATACTTATTGTCACGTATTTCGGAGAGATGTTGTTGTTTGCATTTCGCCGACTAAAATCTCTGTTTATTACTCAGCTTTTGCAAGTGCCATTGATGGTGCCTCAGTGTACTTCGGCTCAGACGGAAATAGTGATATTGACTGTTTGCTTCTTTTTTCTTTGCTACGGTGTTTACAAGCCGCAAGTGTTGCTTTGGCGTCTCAGTAGTCGTTTCTATTGCTGTGTAGGGTTTTTCCAGCCTCATGACATTGCTCCTTTTCGCAATTTGCGTCCATTTGGATGAGTCGGGTGATGTCATCTAGATGCATTACTGTTATTAACGATACTTCTCTCTGGAGACACGTGAAAAAGGGCTTTTCAACGATACGTTTTTCTGTGATTTCTTTTTAGAAACCTTTGCACCATGGGTTGATGTCATATGGGCACCTTTGCATTTGTAATGTTCAACTTGTCGGTTGGGGCAGATCAACCGCGTCTGTTTATTCAGAGATGTTCGTAGTTGGATTTTAGGGGCCGTGAATTGGGGACAAGGTTCAAGGTCAAGAGTGGGGACTATTGAAATTGAAGGGGGCCGCGTGGGTTGCGCGAACCGGTGGGCGTTTTGGCTGCGTTTCGGGTTAGGCTTTGGTGACAAGCAATTGTCAAATTAGCAAGAATTAGAATCAAAGGCCATTGCCGCTTGAGGACAAGTGTCGCTCGAATTCCGATTGCAGAAACAGCATGGTGAACTGAGCGGGGTGGGCTTAGGATGACAGGAGGTCGTATTCGGGGTGACGCTCCCTCCCCAAGGGGTGGATGGGTTAGGGGGAGTCTTCGTGACCCTCCCATCCAGGGGCGAGGGTGAGATACGTTAATTGGTTTTGATCGTCCGAATGCTCGGTTTGACTGGGTGGATCCAGGGCTTGAGAATTTTCAAGATACGAAACAGTCCGTTTCATTAAGCCGTCAGTTTATTTGGGTTAATTAGTTCTCGTACTGGGAACGTTAGGAGTTCCATTTATTGTTTTTTTTTTTTATAGCAATACTTATTATGCTGTTAGTTAGCGTCACCCAGTTACTTTCATGGAAAGTTCGGGTGTTATTTGATCGTATGACGCTACTTTTGCACGGGTTCTCTTTGTTTAGATTCGTTCCATTTTGCAGGGTCCTGTAAAAATTTTCTGCTTCCTTCGGTTACGCGTTGTTTTCAAGGGAAAAAATGGTCACAGTATCTTGGTTCCCAAAATTCAAGTTGCCTTTTTGATTTAGAAAATATAATCGCTATTTTCAAAGTGTCTGACATGAAGCCCTCCTTCCTCTACTATTCTCTCTTTTAAGGCTTCTCAATCAGATGGCGTTGGGGAGACTGTAAACGGACTTCATGAATTGCATCTATCCAATACATCGGAACGAGAGGTTCGAGGTTCTATTATAATTCAGAAAATATTCGTAACCAATCCATAGTTGTTGATTTTATCATGCTGTCGGTACGGAATGGGGTGATTCCTCCTGTGATTGACATCACAACGTCTTTGCAGGTTATGATGCCGTCCACTGTTACATGCCAATCAGATTCTCCTTCATCGTCGGGTAAAAATTCTGTAACAAGCGGACCAGAAAGAGGTAGATTTTCTGTGCTTCTGTTGAACATTCAATTGTCCCGTTATATTTGTTTGCTGTTGCGAAATCTTCGAATCTTTTGAGTTGAACCATGCAGTGCAGTTGTTCGATTGCGTGAAAATATATGTCCGGATTCGCTTAGTCAGAGCCGTGGCTCGCGAAGATTTCGTGCATGCGTGTCCGATTGTCTATTTCTCTGTGCCCTATTTCCCATTTGCATCTCTTTGCACCACTGCTCACTGATTGTTTTGGCGTCGTCGCTTTGCAGATTAATTACGACCTAGAGTGTCATCGCTTATGCATGGCATTGCGTCGGTTCGGAAGATTTTCTGATCGAAGACCCTTACGACGATGCCAGTAAGGGTCCACGAATTTGCTATTCATACCCTCATGCGGTCGTTATATGAAACGCACAATATCGCCTTCGCTGGGTCATTTTCAGGGAATGGTTCTCGAGGGAAACAAAACATAAAAAGGTCACCGATCATGATAAGGTGGAGAACGGAACGCAACGATATTTTATCAAAATTTTCAGTTAGTTGGCATTGAGCTGTGTTAGCTGTTTCCATGCTATTGCGCTACTACACAGTTGCCTAAGCCGCTTACATTTTCAAATACGTCTGCGATTCTAAATATAAGACAAATCTGGGGCTTGCTCCAAGCAGATGTATGCTTTCATTGAGCTAGTTTTCCGAGAGCATGGATAACCATGAACGGTAATAAACTGGCACGGTAACGTTGCTCGCTGACCTCTCACTAATCAAACGGCCGAAATAGTATGCAAACGCATCCATGGACTAAGTTCACT